CCTAAAGAGGACCTTAACATAATTCTCTTTATTTTAGAAAAAAAAAAGTTTCCATACAGATCTCTAGGCCAGGGCAAAGTTAACATTACTAGCACATAACACGCGCTCCGCTGCGTGGACTAATGAACAGCAGGAAAAAACATGAAGAAATCAAAGTACATATAAATAGTAATAGAGAAGTGAATAGTAGCAAACATGGCTGAATATAGCGATAAACAAAGGATAGTACCAAACAGCGGCGCACATTAGAACAAACCGCAATGAACAGTATTGAACAGTTCATTAGTCCCTAGCTGGCCTCCATTTTATTTCTGGTCGAGGGATTATATATTTTTCGCGAAAGGGTGTGTCCCCGTATTTTAGAGGGATATTATTGTTGTTATTGTTGTTGTTGTTGTTGTTGTCCCCTATGAACCCTGCAAGTTGAATCAAGAGGGCCGGGGAGAATCATCAAAATAAATGCAATAATAACACCAGGAGGAGACAGGAAGGGGAGGAGAGGATCATGGCCGCTGGTTCGTTGATGCACATCTGGGTCAGTGACGCCCGAGCCCGGCGTCCTTAAATAGATGGGACATATACGCATTCTGCAAGAGGAGCCGATGTGGCCGAGGTGGGCAAGCGCATGTGTCAGAATTAAGTGCGTACGTGTTCATCTCATCAGCTGCTTCCATTCTGGCTTCTGCCTAATTAGCCGGCGATCGACCGACGTAACTAGTAGGTGTGGGATTAATTCCGGCGGCCGCTTTTATCTAACATGTCGTGCGCCGGTGAGCAACGACGACGACGACGGCACGCCGCCGATTGACTAGCAACAGAGAATCCATTTCCTCTACACCACCAAACCACAGGGGGCTCGCAACTATTGTATTAAATATTAAATTAAGCTAGCTAAGCTAATCCGATCGATCGTATACACAAGGAGCCTACAATTTACACGCATGATTCTTTTTAGTCGCCTTACTCCTTTTTTTTTTGGGTGGTGGTGGGGGGGGTCGTGATATAGAAAACCATCTCTAGATTATTTCATTTGTTGCACTATAGCTTAGAAATCGATTTACAGTTGAAAATCTGACCATTTTTAGAGGCATAGACATAATAAAATAACTGTCCTAGACATTTCAAATGGTGGTTTCTTATGCTAATGTTCCTGTTGATTTGGTTTACACCACCTCATATGGCATGGTGATTCTTCAGACCAAAAACCCTAACAGAGAATATGTTGATTTCACCAAAATTCATGTGATGAACTCATGATACGCCATCAAACGCACTCAACTTGGACTAAATATATATAATAAAATATTACCATTTATGGTACATAAATTAATATCATTAGATAAATCGTTGAATCTATTTTATAGTAAACTCATTTAGAGATCCAAATATTGCAAATATTTTCTATAAATTTAGTCAAACTTTGAAAAGTTTGACCAGTACAAATACCAATAGCGATACTTAAAAATGGACAGAGAGAGTAGGTACGCACAACTATTTTTAGTTTACATAGCAGTATATTCACAACGAAGATCTATGAAATAGAACTATATAAGCGTGTATTTTGCAACAGAAGGAATATACAAACATAATACAGTGTACACTGCTAGATTTCGTAGCACAAGTCTGCGCGTGCGTTCATGCTCCGTTGTTGAGTTTCCAGGCTTCCAGGCGATCCAACGCGTGTGTTTAATTATTAGGCGTTGATCTGGTGGGCATTGCTCACATACATCGGTCCACGGTCCACCACGATTTGAGTGCTAGATCTCGACTGACATCTATGCCCACTTCCTCCTGACTGCTCGATCAGGGCCGGGCGTCGACAAGTTTGTTGTTTGAAGGGGATCGACCGGGGAAAAAAGAGAGAGAGAGAGAGAGCAAAGAGGTACACCGTATACACATCACTTAACTTTAGCAGGTATATGCTCTCTTTCGATGGGTTCCTTTTCCGGAGAGCTACTGGTTGCTTTGCTTTCCGGGTGTTTTCGTCCTCGCCGATGCTTGCCTGCCTGCCTGTCTAGCTAGCTACTTTCTCCTCGCCAAGTTAACCGGGAGCGAGAGAGCCCAGGCCAGCAGATGGAGATGGCTCGCGTTGGTACGTGTAAGTAACTGCGCTGCACGCCTGCACCTGCGTGCGTGCGCCACTTCCCCCAAATAAAACTGAGAAGCCAAGGGAAGGGAAGAGACGCGGCCGGGCAGACCGCCAGAGAAAGAATATGATGCATGCCTGCTTGGCGTAAGCCAGCGTGTTCTTTATTTTTACGGTGTTTCTTTCGTAGGGTGTAATTTACCCGTGCTAATATTCCTATAGAGAAGCTACTGTGTTACCTATGTACACACACACACATATAATAACATAATAATCAGTAGCACAGTAATAGAATGCGTCAGTTAATTAGCTAGGATACGGAGATGGGTCGTCCAGCACATTCAGGTGACGACGGCAGGAGTTGCACGATCCAGTAGGCCCTCCTTACTTGCATGTACTGCAACCCTTCTTTACTAGGTGAATCAGGGGATTACTATTAATAAACTGTGCAATGGCCTGTTGGGATGTGTTAGTACTAAAAATTAGCAGCTAAAATTAGTACCGATGGATCATCCAAACATACCTGCTAATTATTAGCTTGAGGGTTTGCTAACTATTAGTTCTATTAGCAGGTTCGTAGTTGCTAATAGGTGCTAAATAGTTCATATACCTTTAACTCACTGTCCAACCACCTGTTAGCAGGTGAATCCAAACACTCCCCTTTAAAAATTAGTTCAGTAAAAATAACACCTATTGGCTAGCTCATTTTTAGTGCTAATGGACCTAAGCAGGCCCTGAGATGCACCTAATTATCTCCCCCTCGGGTTTGCTTGCTCGTAGTTCAGCAATAAGCCTCTTCTACTATATACTCTAGCTAGTACATAGTACTATTATACTAATCCTACTTATATAGCAAGTTACTCGAGAGTAAGTAGAGACGAGCATTAAAACTGCAGCAACCGTGTGTAAGTCCTTGTCTCGCGTACACGTGTGCGCTAAAATACTGGAGTGCCTTCTAGCTAGCTGGTATGCGTTAGCATTTGATTGCTAGACGTACCCTTCCACTGGATCATGATCATTAAGATCAACAATCAGAGTACTATGTAGTAGGTTTCTTTTTACCTGACTAGCTAGCTTAGGTCATCGATCACTGGCCTGGCCGTGTGCGTCAGTGCGTGCAAAGCTCGAGGCAAACGTGATGCACGACGTATTACCAGCTGAACCTCAAATTGCAATGGAATAGGCAACCACTTGTTTACTTTCTCCAATTAAAAGCCTGAAAGGTTCATCAGGTGGTGCCTTACGTTATTACAACACCACACTGTCTCCTTTTCCCGAGTAAGAAAAGGACCTCCGGTAACCAGAGCACGCAGCTAAATACAGTACAGTACTCTCTCCATACCGGTAATTAAAGTCATTTTGATAACGACACGATCTTCAAAGCATAACTTTGACTTCTTTTTTTTATAAAAATATTTATGAAAGTACTTTTCAAGATAAATCTATCCATATGGTTTTCACGTCTCTAAACTCAATAACTTTAAAGTTATCCATGATTTATATTCTAAATATTTGATTCAAACTTTGTCCAGAACGACTTGAATTAGTACTGTTTTCCTGCCATCTACTACCGATAAAAAGATAGGCGCCGTGTGGTTCATGAACATTATTTGCATGTTCAGTTGTTCACCGTCAACCATCCAAATTAATCATGAACATCCATCGCATTCGTATACCATGAACAACAGTATGAATTTTCCGCAACATCTATCGACGGTGAAACGATAAGGTAGAGATCGATTCCTTTCACTTTTGCTTCATCATCATCAACCAATGCAAAGAGGATTAACTTTCAAAAAAAACAAGCATGATAAAAAGAAACGACATGATTTATACAAACGTTGACGTACCGAAGCAGAGTTACTACTTTATCAACTACTACTGATCTGGTGGCAGTCAGTTTCAAGACCAAGGGGTCTGGCTCTGGCACAACCAAAGATGGTAGCGTGTTGCCGCCACACATCTTGTTAGCCAGACGAAATCAGAGATACATGAACACGTACTTCTTTTTGGCTATTTGGATCGTGGCTGTATTTTTTTTCCGAACCGAGACATTCCTCGTCTTCATTAATAATTTAACAGAAACACAACAGTTTAAAGATAGTTCAGAGAGCCGTAACCAGAAAAGAATACGAATCTAAGGGTCTATTTGGTTTCCTCCTTGTCGGAGTTGCCTGGCCCAGGCAATAGTCCTAGACGTCCGATATCGGTCGCCCGCACACTGCTCGGAAGACCACGAACCAAACACACTCAACGACGTGAAGCTGCTAGACCCCGTGTACTCAATGGCCATCTGATTCAGATGACACGACGGTCAAAGGCCAAAAGCAGACCCAAGTGTAAACTCATTTGGCGGTTCATCTGATTCAGATTTCACGACGGTCAAAGGAAAAACTAAAAGCAGACCCAAGTAATAAAAGTCTTCACGGGGATCGATCAAAATAGATGAAGCCGCGTTAGTGGCAAAGTGCCTAAGTTCTTTCATGACCGTTAGTGGATCAGATTCTTTCATCACCTAGGATCAGATTTTCATCTAGTCACCCACTACTTGACAATAAAGACCAGTGGGGCCGGCCAAATGGGCAAAAGCAAAACTTACTGTTTGAACCAAAACAATACTCACAGTAAAAGTTAAAACCATGGATCTTCAAAGCCTGTTGAAGCACCACAGTGCTCAGTTACCACGTTGGACTGGAGCAACCAAGCTGGAGCGACTCGGGCAGGCACGTCAGCGCCCACGTGGCCGACGCGGGGGGTCCTAAAATATTCCTTGCCTCGACGCCCAAACCCGCGCCGCGCCGCTGCTCCTCCCCGCGCGCAGCATAAAAAGCCCGACCAACAGACCGACCCCAGCTCACCCCAACCAGCCACCACCACCACGGCACCAGCAGTCACCAGAGGCCGGCCGGCCCCGATGCCCGCCTCACCGTCGCGCCCCACGCCGGCTCCGGCCACGCCGCCGCCCTCCGCCGTAGCCACGCCTCGCCGGCGCCGGCGCCTCCTCCAGGCAGGGAAACCCAACCACCACCACCACCACCACCACTCGCCGTCGCCGTCCCTGCAGGCGGCGCCGGCCTCCCCGTTCTCCTTGTTCCCGCCGACGTCGCCGTCGCCGTTCCACCGGTTCCTCCCCTCCCCGCTGCGCGCCTCCGCTGTGCCCTTCTCGTGGGAGCACCGCCCGGGCATCCCCAAGACGCCCGCCCGGAACCGCTCCAACTCCAAGGGCAACAACAGCAAGGCGCTCCCGCTCCCGCCGTCGCTGCTCGCCCGCTCCTGCGCCGGCGGCTCCGACCCCTACGCCTCCGTCTTCCCGGCCGAGTACGCCACCGCCATGGACCCGCCGCCGAACCGCTGGAGGGTGCGCGTGCGCCGGACCCGGCGCCGGTCGCCCAGCAGGCTCGGCGACGCCCTCGCCGAGTGGCTGTCCATGCTCAGCCTCTACCGCTCCTGCAAGCGCGCCGCCGCCTGCTTCGCCGCAAAGGCCAAGTCGCCGGCGGCCTGAGCGACTGAGGCCCGAGAGATAAGTCGTTGTTGCCCACAATCTGCTGCAACTTCCAGTTCTCAGTCTCCATCTCGATCTCCCACTCCCAGTTCGCGTGTGTGTGCTGTGTCGATAGCAATATTAATTGGTGTGCGTGATGCCGTTTGCATTTTGTGCGATGATAATTCACTGCGAATTACTCGAATTACTAGTATATTACAGTAAATAGGACTATATATATGATTCCATTTGATACATACGGAGTACATGTTGTATTTAGAGTTGCCAATAATTCGTGAGGCGCCGCCGTACCATTAATTGCAGGCAGTCAATGAAATGTTTTGGTGCTATTGGTGCTGGTGGTGTAGTAAGCATTCATCATTCATTATTGGGTTTACGTTCAAAGTTCACCGGGAACTTTAAGCTTGTGGTTGAATTGAGCTGGGTGGCCACTGCTGACATCAAAAGTCGAAGCGTGTGATCCTGAAAAGCTGATGATGGTGTGAAAAGATGAAGGTGTGTAAGCATGACATACGTTGTATGGTCTTTTTTAAGCAGCGCGCCTTCGAAGAAATACAGATTATTTTTTGGCATATGTAAGAAATACTACGTACACGCAACATGACTTAATTATGTACTCCTAATCTTTTTAAAGGATTTCTCTGCCCAATTGGCTTCTACTCTAGGAACGCCTAAATTTTATGTAACCTTATTTTAGATAAAAGAAGGTCCTTTATAGGTGTCAAGTATCGGGAATAAATGTGTTGTAATTTTTTTTTCTTTTTGCACCAACTGTTCTAGAAACTAGACCAGAGAATAATTGCAAATATAATTAACTGTAAAATATATTATAAAATTATTATAACTAGCATATTGGTTAGATTACTTGTGATGAAATCTATCCACCAGGGATGAGTGGCATGCATGTAAATGAATATATAGCTAGTAGAGACCTATATAGGGTTGTAGGTTGTTTTTTTAAGAAAATAGTATCACTTTTTTATGCTGATAGTTAAAATTTGTGACACTATTATTATTCTATAAAATTATTGTTCATGACCAATGTCCAATAAAATATACTATCATCAAAGTGCTAGTTCCTTTTTAGACAAAAAATATTGTCAAGTTCAACGACTGTGCTCTAGCTCTATTTAATCCATCATAAGTACTCCCTCCATTTCAAATTATAAGTTGGTTTAGTTTTTCTAGATATATATGTTTTCAATATGTATCTAGACATAATGTGACATAATGTATATATAGATTCGTAGTAAAAACTATGCATTAAAAAGTCAGCACAACTTATAATTTGGAATGAATGGAGTAGTAAATTACAGACGGACGGATCAGAGCCCTTGGTAATGCTGCTATATATTACATCTGCTGCCTGGTTATACGCAAAACAAGTGCATGTTTTCCTTAGAGAAAGCACTACTAGTTACATCACGCAATGCAAGCGCTGGAAGCACAAGAAGGAAACGATCGAATTTCTGTGACAAGAGATGTGTGTGCATATATATAGATCTAGCTTTGTGTTAACCGACAGCTTGGTGCTGCGACATGCACAAAGCATGCAGCCACCAAATCACGCAGTAGTATGTGGTTGTCAGGACGAGCAAGCTAATCGTCCACTAGCTAGCTAGAAACTCTTCTTCTACCGCGCACCTGCAGTGCGTGCATATCTTAACTGCGTGCTAGTACATTATATTAATAATAATCGCATAATATAAATGCATACATATATATATCATCTCCATCTCCATATATGTGTGATTTGTCCATATGTGTGCATCGTCTCCTGATAATGAACTTACTCCCGCTCCCCTTTACGAATTGAACCTAAAAAATCCACGAAAAATTTCCCCTTTTTTCCATATGTACATCAGTACATGCATGGCACTTTGCACATATATATGCGGCGTATGCATGCCCTTTCGGTTGTATATATATGCTTTGATTTGGACAGATATCGTGCAGTTGTAGTGGAGGCTGTATTGTTTGTCCTGCTTTCTAAAACCGACTATGTGATGCAAAAAGCTAGCACCGCATATTATTATGTCACGTTCTCGCCAACTATTTTAGAACTTGCTCGGTCAATCTTCCACCCAAGGGGATTGGAGCTAACCGAAAAATCCCTTACGAAACATTTAGGATTTATTAATGAGGCTCATATTACAAATATACCCTCTCCCTCCATTTTAAATTATAGTTCACTTTAACTTTGCCATCGTCAAAATTCTATGATTATAGCTAAATTTATAGAAAAACACCAATATCTACTACTTTGAATTAATTTCATTAGATACTCTATGGACTATATTTTTGTAGTGTTCCATGATCAAAGCTACAAAAGTTTGACGTAAGATAATGTCAAAGTAAATTACAATTTAGTTAGAGAGAATACCACACATTAACTAGATTGTCGTACATTTATTTCCAGTGCCATTTTGTTTATTTATGTCTTGATAATGGAAGGAAAATGGGCAGCGCGGGGCGGCCCCATTTATTAGACACAACCTGTTTTGGCACGGACCCAATTGGCATAGGTAGATAAACGTGCCACAACTATTCAAGGGGTGATTTCACTTTTTTTGTCTTTCTGCACAGATTTCTGTTACATTTCGAATTTATATGAATATAGGACTTTTCATCATCGATCTATTCATATTTTTGTTAATTTTTTTGATACATTTAGAAGGTCCTTTTTTTCCAAATGGGAGCACTGGATACGTTCTCGTCTCTGAATTTATTTTAGTGATGACCGCCGGCTGGACGTACGGGACTGTCGTGGGGGTAAATGTCCTGACGCCTGCAGCTCGGTGTTAGCGTGTTTCCTACAGAATGGCGGCGCGTCACGTACAGTACTTTGGTGTGCGTCGTCCTTATCACTGGGATCACGGTGTATTGGTATTAATCACGGTGTATGGTATTAATACTATGCGCCCTAGTGTCATGTCACTCCGATATTAGTTTATCGTTTGAAAACCGTGCCCCCTCACAAGCTCCTGGCGACAAGTTACGCCACAACACAATCAAAATCAATTTTCAACAGGCGGTTTTCCAATCCGCTACTACGTTATTGATTATATAAATAAGATATTCATAGTGATGGTTCTAAAACCATTCCCAAAAGTTAGGAAGTCAAAAAATATTGTTTTACCCAAGCAATTTCATCTCGAGGATTCAAACTCACAACCTCTTAATTAGCTCATATGAGCTCTCCTACTAACACACCACATGTATGCCTATGATCAAGTATAGGATGCAATCCTTTCGTATTAGTTTTATAAATCTTATATTCAATATTTCAGCTCCTAAATGATTTAAAAAAAGAAAATTAAACTACAGAATTTTAGATCTTATGAAGTACTCCCTCCATCTAGAAAAACATGCAATTCTACCACAATAACATGTTTTAGTATATCATGTTTGACCAATTATAGATAAAAAAACAATAAATATTTATAATATCAAATAAATATCATTAGATCAAATATGAAATATATTTTCATAATAAATTAATTTAGAGTCACAAATATGAATATTATTCATTAAAAATTTGGTCAAATGTAAACAATTTTATCTGGCACGTAACCCATAGTTGCATGTTTTTCTGGATAGAGGGAGTACTACAACTTTATTATAGGCGAGTTTTCATCAAAGGTTGTTTCAAAATATTGTAAATTTGAATTTGAAATTCTAAGAACTTAAAGTATATATTTAAGTCTGAAAGGTCTCTAGTTTGGTTTTGATAATTGAGTGACAACCTAGGTAGACTAATGTGATTAAATGTGAGATACATAGGTGATTAGTCCATAAGTACATCATGTGTGAGCAACCTATGCCATGGAGGTGAAATGGCTTAGACTTGTTGCAAGGCTCACACATTTGATGAAGGAGCTCATTGCATATGAGACATGACATGGAGTCATGTGACTAAGGTGGAGAAGATCAAGACAATACTTGGCTTGATGGACTGGTTGCAAGCGTGAAGGGCAAGTTGGAGGCTTTGGAGCGATGGACCACATGGCGGTGAAGCTTGAGCAAGACTTGGCGCCGATGGACAAAGGCAACGATGAAAAGCAAGTGAGGTCAAGATTGATGAACCAACAAGGTCATGAGATGATATGAAGTGGATCATATCATTTGTGATATGGTTGATGCATGTGTTGCATCAACATCAAAGGAGATGGAATGGAATGCGCAAGGCAAAGGTATATTTGTAGGGCATTTTATTTCACCGATCATAGGTGTGTAGATAAGTTTATGATCAGGTTTAGGACAGATGGCCGTACTATCAATAGGGGCAAACTTGTTTGCATATCGGTCATCTAGTGCCACTCGAGCGATCTGACTTTGCGTACGTGTTAGGATCGAGTGGCGTGGTGAAAGGAGTGCTAATTCTTTGGAAAATGTTTACGAAAAGCTAACACACATGCACAAGGTGGTGAACACTTGGTGGTGTTGGCACATTTGCAAAGGTGAAGTCGAAAGGTGAAGAGAGGAGGCAAAGCCAGGCTCAGGGTGCTGCCCTAGGGGCATCGCCACCCCCTGTCCGGTGGCACCGCCACCCCTAGGGCGGTGCCCACCTGACCCCGGTCCAGAGCAGCAGTAGTGGAGGTGTCATCACCATGTCCGGTGTGCACCACTGTGGGGGAGGGAGGTGGCACCGCCAGGGGTTGTCCGATGCACCGCCGTGGCACCACCACTTTTTACCCGAGGCTGGCTGTTTTGATGGTTGAGCAAGGGGGTCACCGCCATGGTGACAGCGGTGCACCGCCCTATTTTTCTAGAGGGGTGTTTTCTCGGGGGGTTGGCCAGGTGGTCACCGCCACCCCTAGGGCGGTGCCACCGCCACCCCTGTCCGGTGACCAACGACTAGTTTCTAGCTATTGGAATTCAACTGTTGGGGAGAAACCAACAACTTAGCTCCAACGGCTCTATTTGGCTTGGGGACTATAAATAGAGGTGGAGCTCGGACTTAGCTAAGGTTGAGCACCATGGTGATGTGTTGCCCTTGT